TAGCTCTTCCTCCCATCTTCATTTTGCATTTTTCATCCTCTTCTTAATACCATCTAGGATCGTCTTATTAGAAATTTCTGATTTCCCGTTACTCTGAGAATAAGCAGAGGTCGAGTAGTGGTTCTGAATTCCGTACTGTTGACAAAAAGCTTTAAAGGGACCACTATCGAATTGAGTTCCGTTATCGGACACGAGGGCATTAGGGATTTCAAACCTGGTAATGATGTTTTTCCACACAAATTTCCTTGTATCAGTGTCTCTAATGTTTGCTTAGGGCTCGGCTTTCACCCACTTTATAAAGTAATCGGCTACAATGAGAAGGAATCTCTTATTGCCCAGGGCCCGAGGTAATAGTTCCACAATATCCAGTCCCTATTGTGCAAATAGCCATGGGCTAGCAAAAGAAAGCAGTTCCTGAGCAGGTCTTTACGGTATTGGCGAGAATTTTTGACACTTTTTACACTGCCTAACAAAATGTTGAGCATCTTTCTACATGTACGACCACCAGAAACCTTGAAATATGGCTTGGTGAGCCAGAGATCTTCCACCAATATGAGCATCGCAACTTCTCTCGTGAATTTTGGATAAAAAATTAGGGACTAATTTGGGGTGCATACATTTCAAGTATGGGCCTCCGAATGAGTGCCAGTAAAGCTCATCCTTTGGAGATAACTAAAACCTAGCTGCCTTAAGTCGTATTTTATGGGCTTCTTTGTTGTCTTTGGGAGAGTCTCCATTCTTTAGAAAAGCGATGATCTCGTCCATCCAACTCGGTTCTAGTTCTCCAAATAAGACTTCTCATGAACTCTCTACAAAAATGCTCGTTTCGGATAGGAATTTGACAATGATTGTTCTTCGATTTTTTGATCGATGGCAGAAGCTAATGATGTCAAGGTGTCAGCATGGACATTTCTTGTTCTACCAACTTGCCGAATCGAATATTATGGTATCTGGCTTAACTCCTTTTCTGCTACAGCATGATATGCCATCATTCTTTCATCCTTCGCCATATACTCCCCTATTATCTGATTCACCACCAGTTGTGAGTCAGAAAGTATTTGGAGCTTCCTTACTCCCAATTCAGTTGCAAGCCTTACTCTTGCTATCAGGGCCTCGTACTCTGCTTCGTTGTTCAAGGCTTGGAAGCTGAGCCTGATGCTTCTTCCAACAAACATCCCTCCGGACTCTCTAATATAAGGTCAATGCCTGCCCCTTTTTGATTAAAAGATCCATCTACAAATAAACTCTATTTTCTACCGAGCTCTGGCTTGTCATCATTGTTAGGCTTGTCATTCGGTCCCAAGCTATTCTTAGGTTGGAATTTAGCTATAAAATCTACCACCACTAACCCCTTGATTGCGGTCCTCAGCTCGAACACAATGTTGAACTCTCCGAGCTCTACTGCCCACTTAGCGATGCATCATGATAGATCGGCCTTCCGAAAAAGATCATTCAAGGGCTAGTCAGTGAGCACTACGATTTGATGTGCCTGAAAATAGTGTCTTAGCTTCCTAGTCGAGCTAACCAAGGCAAGGGTGAGCTTCTGCAACGGCGTGTATCTTGAATCAACATCTAGAAGCATTTTGTTCACATAATAAACGGGGCTTAATTTTGCATGGCCATTTCTCATCAGTGCCCCATTCACCGCGTGCTCAGACACGGCTAGGTAAAGCAATAGGCATTCCTTGGGCAGTGGTGTTGTCAAAATCGGTGGGAAAGCCAAGTATGTCTTCAGATTATTAAACACCTCTTCACACTCATGATTCCATAATACACATTTCTTCCCTTTGATAGATTGGAAAAAGGTTATCCGATGCCCGAGATATGAATCTTCCCAACGCGGCTGCCATTCCTGCCAGCCTTTGCACTTCCTTCATTGTTTTGGGTGATTGTAGCTCCATTATGGCGTTTACTTGGTCAGGATTTATCTCAATCCCCCTATGCGTCACTAAGAATTCGAGGAACTTACCAGATCCCACCCCAAATGCACACTTTGATGCATTGAGCTTCATTTGATATCTCCGAAGTACGTCAAAGATTTTCCTTAGATTAGAGCAATGGTTAGAGGCCCTTTGGCTCTTCACTACCATATCATCAATGTATACTTTCATAGTGTCTCCCAACATGTGGGAGAACATCTTCGTCACCAATCTTTGATAAGTGGCCCCTACATTTTTTAGTCCAAAGGGTATTACCTTGTAATAGTATGTTCCTTCGGGCGTTATAAAGACGATTTTCTCCTGATCTTGCTCGGCCAGATGATGTTGGTGATAACCCTGGTATGCATCCATAAAACTCATCTTTTCATGATCGGCAGTTGCATCCACTAATTGGTCTATCTTCTATAATGAAAAACTATCTTTTGAGCATGCCTTATTGAGGTTGGTAAAGTCGACGCAAACCCTCCACTTTCCATTCTTCTTCTTAACGGCCACGGTATTTGACAACCAGGTCAAATATTGAACTTCCCTAATGGTCTGAGATTCCAACAACCGAGATACCTTTTCCTTTACTGCCTCTTGGTGCTGTGGTGCCGATCTTCTTAACTTCGATTTTATTGGCTTAAAACTGAGATCAACGTTCAGCCGATGACATGCTGCTTCTAGAGGGATGCCAGACATTGCATAAGTCGTCCATGTGAATACATCAACATATTCTCTGAATAGTGAGATCAGCTACTCACGCTGTTTGGGCTTCAATGAGGCTCTTAACAGGAAGTATTTTTCTTCATTCGTGTCTAAAGGTACTTGAGAAAAGTCTTCAATGGTTCGGTCACTAGGCATCTCTTCCTGATCCAAAGGTACTTTGGACAATTTTTCTGTAGCTAGGTCGGTCAGCTCTTGCTCCTTGCCTAAAGGCACTTTAGGCCCTTCCTCGATAGTTCGGTTGGCAAGTCTTTCATCCTCGTCAACTATCCTACTGAGGTTTGGTTGCTATTTCTTAGTTTCTAAAGCTAATCCCCCATCTCGTATTTCTCCACTATCCTTTCCCTTTATAGAGGCCAATAAACAAGTTCGGGAACAAACTTGATCTCCTCGAATGTTCACAATTCTTGCAGCCAAGGGGAACCCGAGCATCTGGCTGTACGTTGATGACGCCACCTTCATCTCATGCAATTAGATTTGTCCCATTATTGCATTGTACGCCGAGACCGTATCTACTACAAGAAACCCGGTCATGACGCAAATAGGCCCGATTTTCACCGAAAGCATGATCTTTCCCCTTGGGAGGACAGTTTTTCTGCTGAAGTCGACCAAAGGGGTATTAATTGGCTTGATATCCTCCTACTTAAGCACAAGCTTCTTGAAAAGATCCATGTACATAATTTCAGAGGAGCTACCACGATCGATCAACACTCTCTTAACATCGTAGTTGCAATCCGCAGTGTAACAACCAGCATGTCATTGTGCGACTGATGTATCCCGATCAAGTCTTGTTTAGTGAAACAAATGGCCTCGGTTGATTCTTCCAACTTCATCCTTTTGTTCCTAACTTCTGGGGTCAGTCGTGGTGGATAAACTTTCCTTTTCTTGGCAACTCTATGAATTTACGCCCTAGCAGCATTATTTGTTACCATTTGCAGATTCGTTACAGTGTGGATTACATCAATCACATCTTTCTTCCTACCTGCATCTCTGTCTAGCTCGGTCTGTTTATCCCTGGCAAATTGCTTTCTACCGGGCTGCTCCTTACCCCCATCTCTGGATAGGTTATCATCAACTTTGGTATACTTTTCAATTCTCACCATTAGTTTTTCCATGTCCACGACAAGTTTTCTAGTGAGGAACTGGTACAACGAGTTTTCTTTAGGCAATCTTATTTTGAAGGAGGCCACGACAATTTCTGGGTTGCAAGCTTCAATTTTGTTCATCTTTTCCCAGTAACGATGAGCATATTCCCTCAAAGTTTCAGAATTTTTCTTCTTCAGCATCAGCAATGCCTCAACATCTTTGGGTTTCCTGCTACTTGTAATAAACTGAGTTGTGAACTACTCGGCAAGTTGTGCCCATCCATCTACTGAACCCCTTGGCAGACTGTCGAACCACTTCATGACCAATTCTCTGAGACTGCTTGGAAAAATGGTGCAGAGCAATGGCTCGTTCTTTCGATAAATGGTCATAAGCTATCGGTAGTGACGGATGTGAGAGGTCGAGTTTGTCTTCCTATCATATAATTTAAAGTTTGGGACAGTGAATTTGCTCCAGATTCTCCCCCTTTCGATCCACATGGTGAATGGGGAGGACTTTGTTTCATCTCCATATTCCCCAACGGCTCTCCTAGTTAGATCTCTAGCCAATTTTTGCTCTGATCTCCTTAGTCAGTTATTGAGTGCTTCGGTTATAAATTGCTTCCAGGAGTCCTCATCTTGGCCCTAAGGCCTTTTCTACTTATACTCCTCTTCCACGGCATTTTCTCTTTTATCTCACTTATTTTTGGGACTCTCTATTCGGCTTTCTTTGTTACGCCTATCCCTCTTGGTCAACTCCTTTAGTTTAGCCTTCAACTCTTCGTTTTCCTTCATCAAATCTCTTTCCCTGGCATACGATTTCTTGAACAGTTTATCATGTGGGTCCAGTCGATCTTGCAGGGACTGAACCAGTTTTGCCAGAGCGGGGTTCTCCCCCTCGGCATAGAGGGATTCGCCCTAGTCGACATCCTATTGACTCTGATGCTTATACGGCTTGAAACTTGTGGTGGACAACTCCTCATCCTCACGTGGCAATAACCCGCTCATACAGGCAACAACGTTCGGCATTCTTGAGTTGGTAATGGCGATCCTCCAAAAATATCCCGTGGCTGCAGACTCCTTTGACGAGAATGGAAGGAATATATTGCATATAGTGGTGGAACAGAAGCATAGATTTCTTTATCAATAATTGATGAACTCTTTAGCTTACAAAGATAAGATGATGGCAGATATTGATAATTGAGGGAACACCATCTTGCATCTCGCATCGTGTGCCAAAAATCATGTCTTAATGAAGCAGGGAAGTGTTGAAATGGCAAACCCCTTTGGTTCAAGGTACTAAAACAATTTTGAAAATATCTTGTGTGTTTGTGTTATATCTGCTTTTGAAGCCCAATATTTGTTAAGATTGTTTTTTCATCTAACAACTACAACAAGTTAGACCCTCAAACTAAGTACAAATAGCATTTCGCATTAATAAAAATGCCTCCCTAATCCTTTTTCATTTTTTCCACAGCACGTAAAGCTCGACTCTTGTCCACACTTACAGGACCTTCGAAACATGGATGGAAAGACAGCAGAGGAACTATTTGAAGAAAATTCACTCATCTCTTCGAGAAGAAGCAGAGAAAGTAGCAAAACACGTGAGTGATAACTTAACTATCGCCGCCACCCTCATCTGCACAATTAATTTCGCAGCACTTTTCACGGTCCTTGGTGCCTTCAATCAAGATACCAGGGACCCCATGCTCCTCTCCGATCATTGGCAGGAAATGCAGTTCTTCATGGCTTACATAGGGTTAGCTCTGTTCTTCGCCTTTCTTTCCTTGACAAACCTCATTCTAATCCAAGTATCGCGGTTCGACACCAATGATTTTCACATTGCAATTCCAGTAAAAACCATAGTAGCCTCCCTCACAATTATGTACTCCACCGGCTTGTCCACCACCGCTTATTTGCAGGGCTATATACTCGAGAGCCACCCGGGGACCTTCATAGCCACCTTTTTGATCTTTTACATGTTCGTTGTTTGGTTTGTGTTGGCCCTCGTAATGGTAGACACCACGTTCTCAACTTTAGATTGCATGTACTATGCACTTCTCCATTTGATTACTTATAAAAGTCGGGGCATATAGAATTTGATTATTGAGATTTGTATTGTATAATATAATCTTTGTATTCAAGAGAATTACAACAAATGAATTAAGAGTTTTGTTAGAATATATATTACAAAAACAATTTACATGAGAAAGAGTGCTTTTGTCAAATTAACGTTAGTTTTTAGTTCAATTCCCAACTTAATGTTGTTGTGAAAAATAATTCATTCCCATTGTGTTATTTTGGATGCTACATGTTAGATGTCATGTGGGCAAATATGTTTAGAAAGTTCCGGAAAGAATTGTGTTTGGAAAGTTGACTTGAATTAATAGATGATTTTCTTTTGATTAGGGCTACAATAGAGTTTTGTGATTTTTTGAATTGTGGTATTTTGTATTTAGGTTGAATACTAGTCGATCTTAATCTTAAGGTATGTTTGTTAACTCAAATTCAACACTTAAAATGAATGTATTCAACATTTATTAATTGTGCTCGTTTGATAACCAAAATTTAAACTCTTTTTTTTTTGTTACAAAAGAGTAATTTATTTATTCACAAAAAAAGTAATCACAAGAAGCAAAAACCAAAATTTAAACTCATAATATATTAAGTACTCCTCAAAAATAGGCTACAATATTAAGTAGGAGATTTCTTACTCAATTCTAAAAGCTGAAAGCGCGCAGTAAAATCTCTTTAATAATATTTATAATATAATAATTGTACCTCGAAATATTTTACAATCCTATTAAAACTCTAATTAGTCTTTTCTCCAATACTCCTAACTTATCTATTCTCCTAACCGATCATCTTCTTCAATGGGTAACAGGTAAGCTTCATCCTTGTCTTCTTCTTCTTCTTCTTTTAATTTTTTTTTCTTTCCTTGTCATGTCCAACAAAAATATACATACATAATTACACACACACACACATAGTTACACACACACATGCACTGAGCACACATTTGCACACACACACAATTTAACAGTCACACACACACATTGCACACACACGTGCGCACCTTTTATTGTTATTTTTTTTTATTAGATATTATTGTTCACTTATTGTGTTATTCAGATTTTTTTTATGAGATATTATTACGCACTTATTGTGTTATTCAATTTGATATTATTCTATTCGTCTTTGTTATCGATTAACAGTTTATTTGTTCAATTATTTTATATATATTTGTTGATATATCGTAGTTTTGTATTAAATAAAAACATATTTTATAAATATTTTTAAATTAAAGAGTGGAAGGATAAAACTAAAAATTAATTTATTTTTCAGACGTCAGCTCTGTATAGTTATTAAATACTTTGGTTCAATTCAGTACTTAATTTTCAATGGATACCAAACAATCCACAAATTCAGTTTTTAACTTTTAGACTTCAACTTTTAGACTTAAATTTTAGTTTTATCAAACACTACCTTATTCACTTGATTAATTGTGTTGGATATATAGATACCAATCTAATCTATTTATTATGTCTTGTTTGAGTTAATCTGCATAACCTGTGAACTAAAAAAATTAAGGAATTTTGGGACTTAATTGTGTAAAAGTCCATTGAGTAAAATTATTTGTGTAGAGATTTTTTTTATTTGTGAACACCAAATATACCCACAATAAAAACTAACTAGCTCAAACTAAAGGGTTTGAAAACCACCGAAAATTAAGCAACATATCTATAAAAATCAGCGACAAACGACATCCTGCAAAATAGGTTGTTTGAAATTCAAATAAAACATGGTGTTTGAAATTCAAATAAAAATACCTTAAAATCCATGATATTTCAACCAAATTAAAAATACAAACAATCAAAAATTGTGAGAACTAAAAAAATCTTTGTACATACGTTGGAATACCATTGAAGTTCGATTGTCGATTTTTTCAACTATAATCGTTGACAATGTCTACAGACCTAACTATGGATTGATTGATTTTTACGTATATTTTGGTGTTTAAGTTAAACCATTAACATGTGGAAGTATAACACATTGTTTTTGGGAACTAGGGTTTTTATCATTGGGTTTTTACATGATAGTAATATATCATAGTATAACAACTTCATTAATACTTTAATAACTGACAAAGGATTTGCAATTTCATTTTTCAATTCATGCACAAGTTAAATGGTATATTTTACACAGTGTGGCATCACAATGTGATGTCTACAATTCGACAAATATATATATATATATAATTTCTTTTTTTATAGAATAGCAGTATTACATCATAGTGTAACAATACAATACAATAACCGTAATTGGGTATAAAAAGTTTGACAATCAAATGTGAAATCCATTCAGTGTCTTCCAAAAAAAAAACAAAATTAACTTAAACACCAATCATAAATCTATTAACAAGTCATTGAAATAGAAGAAAAACACGACCTCTGGGTGGAAACAACAAATGTTAAAAAAGAAGAAATACACAACTTGCAAATGAATCTATAGACATTAAAGTAGAATGCGAGCATCAGATGTTGAAGTGTAAGAAGAAGTTGAAGAAGACGAGCACCATATGTTGAAGTATAACACTAGTCATTGAAGTAGAAGAAGATGATATACATTTAAAATTTAGAAAATAAAGGTATTTTAAAATAGGAAACCGCTGATTTAATAAAACTAAATCCCATGGAAAGAGGAACAATCAAATTAGATAGTTCATGAATTATCGAAAATTATATTTTAGTAAAAGAAAATTATAAAGACTGTTATTGTATATCTAAACATAATACATTTTCAACTAATTGTGCTTATTGATAATATATTTTTTGCAAAGTATACTTACAACTTTTCAAAAAATTAAAGCTAGAACTTCTTGTGTCTCAGCCAAACTAATTATTGATGGGTCTTCCATAAACAAAAAATTCACATACAAGGAAAATCAGGAAAAAAAAATCTTCTACCATTTCAGCTCAAGAAATGAAACAAAGGAAAAAAAAAAATTACGTTTTCTTTGTACAATACTAAATAAAAGAGTTTGTGTCAAAATAATGTTATTTGTATTTGTCTCTACGTGGTCCCATTATTATTCATGTTAATAGTAGTGTTACTTTTGTGTTTGTGCCAATAACCAATCAATCTTAATTGGATAATTCTATATCAAATTTATGTCTGGCCTACTACGCATAGTATCAAAATGACCATCCTACCCGTGAGTTGTGATGAAAATATATCGAAACTGATGTTACAATAATTTCAAAAGAACTGGATAGTAGACGGTAATACGAAAGTAATATCATCATTTGAATTTCCTTTCCTTTTTTTATTTTTTGGAAGATCGGATTTGGACCTCTGGTTTTTACCTCACTCCAAGGTCCCAAATGAAACTATGTTGTGTGTTTTTCTTTGCATAATTTCCCCGGGGGGGGTGGGGGGAGCAAGACTTGTTAAGTTCAATCCTATTGGGTGATACCATTAGATGCTACATACCTATGGATTAGCAAGCTAGATGAGAGGGAAAACAGATGCAAAACCACGAAGCCAAAGTGTGGTGTGCTTTCCAACTCATCAGTAAACATGAAAACAATGCATCACTGAGAGAATTATTTCTACAATACTGTTTTTTTTTTTTTTGAAACGCTGTTCTACAATACTGTTAGATTGATAATATTATTATTTTGGCCAAAAACTCGACAAGAAATTATTTATTCAAGACGATTATTCGATATTTATAGTTTACTAAATTCTTTTATGTATGGGGGCTTTGTTGTTTTGTTCCTGGCATTTACCATAAATAAATACCAAAGGTCGGCCATCAAAGTGTATGGTTTCCAATTCTTTATTACATAATGGATCGTCAGAAGAATCACTTTACTAATTTTTTTTATTTATTTGGGACTCAAACTTTTCCTTTGTTGTTCATTACTCTTGATGGACTTTATTATTTATAATTCACTAAATTCTTTTCTTGCAATATGGATAGCGGCTTTGTTCTTTTGTTCCTGGCACTTACCATAAATAAATACCAAAGATCAACCATCAAAGTATATGGTTTCCAAATCTTTATTACATAATGTGTCGCAGAAGAGTCACTTTACTAAATTTTTTTGTTTTGTATTTGGCATTCAAACTTTTCCTTTGTTGTTTATTAATCTTGATGGGCTTTATGTTTGTTTTCTTACTAAGGAATGGAGATGATTCATAGTCATTCCTTTGAGCAAATTATAGATTATCGCCTTTGTATTTGTCCCAATAATGCATTATCTCTCATCTGTAAATGACAAACAATTTAGAGGTGAGAGTGCCCGAGAAATCTTCCCTCCTCACTTTTTTGTTTATTAGAATTTAGAATTTTTTAATTCAAAACCTGAAGGTTACTTCAATCAAACTCTATCATGTGTGATTTATAACAACTTCTAAACTCCTCAATAACTAACTACTATTCTTTTAGATTTATTAAAAATTTACTTTTTCTCACTCAAAAACTTTCTATAATTGTCTATTTAACTTCTTAAGTAATAAACTAAAAAAAAGAGGGATAAATATAAAAATAAAAAAAGAGACACAATTTAAAATCCCGTACATTGCACAGGACGTACCACTAATTATGATATATAAACATATACGTATCCTCAAGTATTTTGGACTAAGCTTAAATTATTGGAAATTTTGTGAAAATTAACGACTAATAATTGATATAATTTATAATATAACACGTCAAAATAATTTTCATATCCTTATGTGTATCACATTTTATTTATCATAACTAATGGTCCTTGAGGCGATGACTTGCTGTCTAAGATAGACCTTGAAGGCCTGAGGATCTCCTTCTCTTTTTGGCGATTCCCAAGCTGCATTGCCTCCTTGGATGGATTCAATTAGGTTGGTCGGTTTGGGAATGACTAATCTGAGGTGCTATTGGTCCGATCTGAGTTATAGTTGTTGGTATCATTAAAATTAAAAGAAAAATAACAAATACCAAACCATTCCATTAGCTTAAACTTGGGGGCGGGGTCATCAAAAGTGGTGTTATTCGTGTCGTGTTATTTTTGTGTCATATCACTTTCGATCATGTTATTTTTATATCGTGGCA